ACTTTAACCTCTTAACCTGAATAAAATGTCCAGCTTAAAATTATCAATAGTCAGCAATTTGAACCAACGCTGGGGCTCGTGCAGCCACCAAACACAATCAAAATCAGATAAAAAATAAATAAATTCTTTCTTTTTTCARAGCATTCACGTCTACACAGCCTTAAACCAGCAGCAGCAGAATATAAAACATTTTTGTCTTACTTTTGATGAAGAATATGGCCTTTTTTGTGACCAAAAGYGTAGTCCAAATAATCCAAAATGGYGGCTCAGGCACRGCAACAATCCTCTTCTGACATTTCCTCRTCAGAAAAATCACTGCTCCTTGTCTTGAAGCACTCAAAACACTTCACAGTAATTAATTTAAAGCAATTTTAGTTTTAGTCCAAGAAATGCAAAACACGTGTTATTCATATGTACTTTGCATCATCTTGTCTTCATCTTCTGGACTTTTTTTGGTGTTTGGCAAAAAATGTTTGGTGTGTATTACCGCCACCAAATGGTATGGAGTGTGGTTTCAATTTGGAATATATTTATGTGTGCATAACTGAAAATCTAAAATTCAGTTGTTGTTGTTGTTGTTGTTGTTGTTGTTGTTGTTGTTGTTTATCTTATTATAATTTGTATTAATTTGCTCCCTAGATGCTTTTGTAAAGTGTCTGTTATGTTTTTTTTTTCTTAATACATTTTAACATTCATTTTCTGTCCTGTTTACAAGCTCCCCCACCCAAAACCAACCCATCATTTTATGGGGAATTTGATTGGCCGCATGTCTGTGATCCCAGACCAAAGCGCAGAGCTGATTAGCTGGTTTTGTTGTCAATCAATTACCTGGCCCGCCCTCAAATGAAAGAAGACAGCAATTTTAATCGTTTCAATGCCCTACTATGCACATTTGAAACTCCTGCAGTGTTTGAGAGGCTTTAAAGTGGACACATCATGCTTTTAAATATGTTTTAGGGTCGGTTTAAAGTGGAACTATGATGCTTTGTTCTGAAGTCCTCCTTATTTTAAAATTTCCAGTTCCTTTTTTTAATCCCTTGTCTGAGGTGTGTCTCAGATCAACTAGTTTTTAGGCTGTCTCTTTAAATCCAACAYCCCACCTCCCTCCAGCTTCCAAAGTGGAGCSCAKAAACYTTTYATTTACAAATGAATTAAAAGATGTTAACAWGGGCAGACTTGTCCATCCAGACTTACATGTTGGAGGCAGAGTCTGACCCAGAACCAGAGGAGAATGAAGATGACTGAACTGTAGTTGGTAAGTTCAGACCTTATTAAGTTCTGTCATAAATATGTTTGACATAACTGTTCAGAAAACATAACTGAAAACAGAGARACTGAATGGATTGAAAAATATGACCCAAACAGAATAMAAAAATRTCAATGTTTCACCTGGAGAGACTAAATTAAAAAATTCCAAGCACACAACAAAACAAAAACTGGATTTTGCACAGTATGWCCCTTTTAAAGAGGCAGGAAGTCAAAACAAACTGTGGCCCACTGGAAATTAGGTCTATGCTTTTTTAAATTTAACAACAGCTTCATTAAATTTCAGTAAAGTTATTTAGTGCTCAGCAGTCACGCCATATTTTGTCTAGTTTTGCTAATTTGTTCTTTCTCGTTATAAATTGTTTTCTGAATTGTCGCGGCAGCCCTCGGAGCCTCCAGTAACCCCTGCAGTGACACCTTCTGTGGCTACTCTCCTGAGTCAGAGATTGAGGTGAAGAACGTGGCCGACTTCATCCGAAGGAACAAGTCCACCATCAAGGCCTACCTCACCATGCACTCTTACTCTCAGCTGCTGCTTTTCCCATACTCCTACAAGTATGGGCTGGCTGCAGACCACAGTGAGCTGGTGAGTCAAAGACTAACACGTATGCTTTTTAACACGTTCGTGTGTCTAATACATGAGATTTATGCTTTCATGTCTTTGTTGAAAATCAAAATTCCAACCCTCAGATTTCTTTACACGTTTTTTTTTTTTCATTCCGAGTTCTCAGAGAAAACTCACACGTGCACAAGACGAAAAATACAAACTCCACACAGGCTGGGAGGTTAATCTGAGACCTGGCTGTGAGGCGACAGCTCCCACCACTGCCCTGCTGGGCCTTCAGAATCAATCATTTAAAATAAACTAGCAAAAAACCCATGGAAGTTACCATTGTTGACCTATTTTCATTCATTTTGGCTGTTTCCATAGGTTAAAAAATTGCTATTTAAGGACATTTGAACATCAATATGACAAAAAAAAAATTATATATATATATTTTTTTTAACCAGGCTTTTTGCAGTGAGTACCTTTAAGCCCGATCATCTATGGGCCCCATTTAGCCACAGACTCCCATGGCTCGCATGGCTCTTTTACCTCTCACTGGGGTGTCCGAGGTGGGGCTGCACATGTAACGCTCACACACCCMTGTGCTCCATGGCTCTCGCACTAACCGAGGCAGATCACACACCTCTGCCCCCTCTACGGCTCGCCTGGGATTTAAGGCTCTCCGCCRACACTTTACAGAACAAAAGAACCGCGGGGATCCACCGTAACTCCTATGTGACCTTAGAAAAATCATTTCCTGCTCGTGCATTTCTCCGAGGGTTTCATTTCCTCCTGCAATTTCTCCCTGAAGCCTTTTGCTGGATTTTTATTTTTGTAATAATGAAAAGTATTGTTTTGTTTGATCAAGTTCGACAGATGCAGAAGGGGGGGACATGTGCAGAGGCAGAAAATTTTGTTGGTATCCTTACAGCTTGTTGAATCTATTGCTTTATGTCTTCTGACAAATGGTTCAGTTGAACCTTGAACTGTTTGTTGGTATTCTCAAAGAGACTTTTCATCTTTGCATTAATATCATTAGTAGTTTTTGGATGGTCATTCAGTCTATCTAAAGGGAACAAACTGAGTAGTTTGGTATCTTTGTGCACAAATTGGAGCAGAGAAAGCAGAGGTGAGAGGAGCTCMGAAAGAAAATTATAGATGTTAAAGGTAAAAGATACAAGACCATCTTCAGTCAGCTTTATCTGAACAGTTCTATATATAATATATTTGCATGCCTGTGACATGCATATTCTTCAAATACAAAAAATCAAAGACAACATTTTTATATTTAAGAAAGTTAGAATAATGCACATGATTTAACTCATTTTGTCCCATAACTGGTATATTTTCTTTTGAACTTGGCTCAGCCAAAGTGAAACAGGAAGTGACATCAAAGGGGARCTCTTKAACAAAGAAAASTCTYTGKTCTTTGTTTATTGAAACAATAKTATTTGAACTCTGACTCTTCTTCATCTCCCTGATAGAGACTCAAAATAATCTTAAGAAACATCAGATTCTTCTCCACAGTCTGGGTTGTTGGTAAAGCTCTGTTCACATGCAGACATTCCCCTTTGACATCACTTCCTTTTTCTTTGCAAGCAAATATCTCAACAGCTGTTCATCTCAGCGACATGAAATTTCTTTTGCAATATTTTATCAAAGTCCTCTTTCTAAAAATGCATTCATGTGTTACAAAAATTTGATGTCACAGGCACTTTAATGTAACGTTTCAAGCCTCTTGAATGAGAGATGGAAACATTTCATCAAATAAGAACCCGTCCAGAGGGCCTGCTTACCTTTTTTTTTTGAGCCAAGGAACTTTATGGTCAAGGCACACCACTTTATGATCACTCCATCTGTTGCATTTTGAATCATAGGACTTTGTGGAAGAAGACCCAGGATGGCTCCACTATTGTTGACAGAATTAAAAAAAAGCCAGACAGATATTCACCAAGCGTCAAAGTTTCTGGAACTTAAGAGGCAAAACTGGAGCCTTTTGGCCTGTCACATTGGTTGAGTTGCTTTAATTATTGTGGAAAGGTACCAACAAATGTATCCATCTCTGTCTGTCTTTTAAAACATTTTACTTGACCATACACTCATTTTTTTCAATTTCTTTCATGATGAGACAAGAAATGTACGCTGGCCAATGTTGTTTACCTTCACGTAAAAAGCCAAATTGCCCTAATACATATTTATTTTCTGTTTCCTTCCTGTATTATAGTTGAAGGTTGCCCTGGGAGCTGCTGCTGCTCTGGAGGGTCTGCATGGTACTCCCTACACCAGTGGACCTGGAGCTACCACTATCTGTGAGTAGTTCCTGCTGGTCCTTAAATACAAAATGATGCATCTGATGAAAGCTTGATAGTTATTTGCATGTGTAGTATCGAGCATTTGATGTGTTTGTGACGCACACGTCTCTACGCAGAGGCTGGCCCCTCCAGAGACAAAACAAAAATCCATCATCAAAGCAAATCAAAGCAATAGATGTAAAAAAAAAAAAGAAAAAATGTTCTGAATAACAATCCCTCTCTGCTCATTTGCCCTCAGACCCCGCTGCAGGAGGCTCTGATGACTGGGCTTACGACCTGGGAGTGAAATATTCCTACACCTTCGAGCTGCGAGACACCGGYCGTTACGGCTTCCTGCTGCCCGAGTCCCAGATCAAACCCACATGCGAGGAGACCATGCTCGCCGTCAAGTACATCGCYGCCCACGTGCAGGAGAACCTCTATTAGGGAGCAGCCGAGACCCCTGCCCCCAGCCCTTCCAACCCCTCCTAGCCATCCTCGGCCYGTAACCATGGACACGGGCACCACCCGCCATGTTTTCTCGCTGTGTTTGACAGAACGTCAAGATGAGTGCAAACAATAAAATCAATGATCCATCCCCACATGCTGAATCTCTCTTTTTTATCATGTGCATGCCATGATATTGTGTTTGATGCACAGATCCTCATTATTAAAGACAAAGAAAAACTACAATATTGTTCACATTTTGCAACTTGTCAGCAAAACGTCAGGCAAGATGTATTAGATTTATTTTAAAAAAAAGCTAAGTTTGTGGTTTAGATTCTAATTTCTGTATTGAAGCATAATGATCCTTCTTGTGCAGATGGCACTATTCCAGTCAGAGGGAGGTTGTGTAGGTGTGTGTGTTTTAGAAGTGTGTGTGTGTGTGTGGGGGGGGGGGGGTGATCTGCCTTTGAGGATTTCAGTCCAGCTCCACAGTACGCAACAACCAACAGAGCTCTCCTTGGCAGCGTGTCTTCTCTGCCAAGCATCTGCCTGAGTGGGGCGATAAAAGGCCCACGGTCAGCGGGAAACGTAACTCCTCTGGCACACAAAACCGAGGTAAAAAAAAAAAAGTGTGCAGAATTGTGTTCGTGAGATAATAAATAATACAATATTGCAAGTTTTCATTATAGTTATATCATTTCTTGGCAGCAGCACAGTCAAGTGAAAACAGTTACAAATGTTAATTCAAAAATGCTGTTAGAATAGAATAAATCCCTCCACTTCCTGCATCTGAAAGTCTTTAAATGTTCTGATTCACCACTTGAGCCCTGAAACGTGACRTGAAGACCTTCTAAAACTCAAAGGCCTAACATGCAGTGGAAGAATGGATATTGTGCACCACCTTTCCATGCCAGAGTTTTAGACTGAGAACTTTTTTTTTCTGCTGTGAAAGGATACATTTGTGGCCATGTTTGGTGAAATCATGAAAATGACAGGCACATGTCAGGTAATGTTGCACAATGTCATGCTCCAAGTACGTGTTGGGAATGACTCTCAGCTACTGCCACATCAAATTTTAGCTCAACATCTGTAAAAGTAACTTAGCTTTGGACACTTTTGTGATGGCTTATGTTGATCATTTCATCTTAGATTTAATTGACTCAAAAAAAAAAAAGATCAGTTGTGCACTCATCGATTAAAATCTGTCCAGTGGTTTATAACATATTTAGGTAACAGACACACATACAAAACACGGGCTAAATAAATAAAATAAAAWAAATGCTGCTCAATGGCAGCATCCTGCAGCTGCCACCACAAGATGGCGCCAAATATTGTTTTTCGTTTTATTATCATTTCATTGCAAATTATCTTGATTTCAGTTCATATCTCGTTAGGCATCATTAATAAAATGATTACGAAGGTATTTTGCATGTATTTACCTGAATGATGTATATAAATGAGCAGCTCATTGTGTTTTTATGCACATTTAAACTGCTAAGTTTACTCTGTGTGTGTGCGCGCGCGCGCGTCCGTGTGTGAGGGATCATATTGGGAGCAGGTGGGTGTGAGGAGGAGGACAGTCACGTGACCTGGCTGCCACAGCGGTATAAATTCACCTCTGTCTGTGCAGTCAGCTCTTTTCTCCTCTCAAAGCTGCCGTGTTCCAGTCTGGGCTACGCAGCGAGTAGCTTCGACTTCAGCCATGGCAGGTATGTAAATCTGTCGGGGTAAACAAAAACAACAAAGCTGTCGTGACCCGCAGGCATGTTTTGAGGGGCAAAGTTTAAAAAAAAAAAAGTCTCGCGGACTTAAATGGTTTGTTTTTCTTTGAAGTTCGGCGTCGATGTTTGATTTGTTGTTGGGTTTGTGTGACAGCAGCTAAGACATGACTTTTATTTAACTTTGTGTCTATTTTGTCCCTATTTTATGTTTATTTTAGCATCAAAATTCCTTTGACATAAGTTTCTATAAATGACTAGAAGGAATGTAAAACTCTTCTTGTTTTCCATATGTTACTAGAAATCACTGCTTTATTAAACCATGAGGATACTTTTATTTTGTTTATAACAGATGACCTTTTTGGGTCTTTTTAGTTTTTAAAACCGCAGCTGCTGCATTCCTCACCTCAAGTGCTCCACTTTGAGAGAAATGTTTTCTGGAAATTGTTCTCTGAAGTCRGAACAGAAGGCCTGTTCAGTCTGGACTGCTAAAATCACTGCTTGTTTTATCTTCAAGTCTCTTCCACCCCTGATTAAGCTGAAGGCATTAGCACCAGACTGGTTTCACCAATTGAGACAAGGGGGTGTGGTGCTGTGTGCAGCCAGAGAAGCAAACTTTTCCTGGCATGCTCTGGTAATGGGGACCATTGTTCTAACTGGCCCAGATTTTAWTTTTTTTCCCTCCCTATTTGACTCCAAGCCTGCACCCTACTTGTGGTTTTTATTTTCTTTGACGTTACACTTCTTTTTATTATTTTTTTTGCACGAATGGCTCATGTGAGTCTCATCCTGAACCACATGTTACATTCTCTCTCACATCCCAGCTGACCTAATCATCCCAGTTTATTTCATCCCACAGGTGAATCACTGTTCAGCAATGTGSTTTAGCAGGAAGCTGACAGGTTATTCAGTCTGAGCTGTATAGGTGCTAACGCTGCAAATGACTAAAATACATAAATGCAAATTAAATCTTTCAGTAATTACCAGAGTTTTARTTTTAAGCGGTTTGTCRTGCTAAGTTTTGTCTCGTGTGTAATTGGCTGTTCTGATCATTTCCTGCAGATCAGGCCTTTGTGACGTTGGCTACCAATGACAGCTATGCTCGGGGTGCTTTGGTTCTGGGCAAGTCCCTTCGTAACCACCACACATCCAAGACGTTGGTGGTCCTCATTGGCCCACAGCTGTCAGAGCCTTGCCAGTAAGTAAAAGTTGCTGAATTTAAAGCAGCTCTTTCCTGTTTTTTTAATTGTGACATTTTGTGTGATTTGTCAGATCTGCGCTGAGGAGGATCTACGATGACGTGATTTTGGTGAACGTGATGGACAGTGGTGACACGGCTCACCTGGCCCTGATGAAGAGGCCTGATCTGGGYGTCACCTTAACGAAGCTCCACTGCTGGACTCTCACACAGTACTCCAAGTGTGTGTTCATGGATGCAGACACTCTGGTGAGACTCGGGTGTTCGCACAAAAGCTCCAAAGAGCTGTTTTTTTTTTTTTAAGAATTGACATAAAACATCAGCCTGTTTGTCCTTGTTTGGATCTGCATCCTAGGTGCTTTCCAACATAGACGAGTTGTTTGACAGAGAGGAACTGTCGGCTGCTCCTGACCCCGGCTGGCCTGACTGCTTCAACTCTGGCGTGTTTGTTTTTCGGCCTTCCGTGGAGACTTATGGCAAACTGCTGAAGTTTTGCACAGAAAAGGGCAGCTTTGATGGTAGGAGGAGAGCAATACTTTATTATATTCACTTGCCTCCCTTAACCCTTTAACTGGTTCTGTTTGAGTGACTTTGAAAAGCTAAAGTCTACAAAAATCCCATGTAAGTTTAGTGTGTATTGGTGTAGTTGACTAAAACCACTTTTGCACAGTTGCACACTCTGGAACAAATTCAGGTTTGTCTGTGATGTTCATTCCTTTTAAAACTGTAAGCTTTTATAGTCATTTTCAGCTGGCATTTCCCATGTTAAGAGGAAGCATCGCTGTTCCAAAAATTAAGTTTTTGCAGTAATTCCATGTGCTATTGGGGGGAAAGACATGTAAGTGGGCTTAAAACCAAAAAATAAAGTCAGCTGACTYTTAGGTGTAATGCTGCTTCACCATAACTTAATACTCCATGGTAAATTCCTCAAACAATTTACTGCTGCCCAATGATATGATTGCTTTATTCCAGACTTATCCTTTGAACACTTGAGCGTTAATCTGGTTTAATCCAACATGATGTAAAGTGAGGTTTATCTTCAGTTCTAAGTAAGGTCGATCATGCCCAGTTCCTGGACACAAGRCCCTCTGTCAGACTTTCTAGCTCAAGTTATTCTCGGAGGAGCTCTGTAGGGGAGGCTGTTTACACTGTGTTTGCACTGGTTAACATTCAGACACTTTTTTTTTTTTTTTTTTATGAAGCGTAATGTGGCTCAACAGTTGCTGGCTACAGATTTTTGGTTCCGTGGCTAAAAAAAGATCATGGTGCTGGCAGCTCTGGTCTCCTTCTCTCAAAACCTCCTGTTTTTGGACAATTTTGCATGTTTCCTTATTCCTGCTCAGTCCTGCAGTGAATGTGTGAAACTGGTCCCAGCAATACTATCATTAACAGGYTCCAGCTGTGTCTAATTTGTACTGCTTCACTTGACAAACTCACTGCCATAGTAAAGTTTCAGAAGCTTCATATAATTGAAAGTGTTCACTGTTTTTTTTAAAATGACCTTTTTTTTTTTTTACAACTTGTTGGAACACCTGTTCACGAACGATGTACGGTTGTGAGAGCACCACCGTACGGCTGGTTGTAAAAAGCTTAAAAGTTGCTTTTTACAAAAGAATCTATCCCATTGGGACTTTTCCAAGTTTGGTCAGCGGAGCAGTTATGGAATAAACAAAATGCAATTTATAGTTGAGCCTGGAATTTCTGGGTCTTTGTTGGTAAAGAAGCCTTTCTGTGTGTGTCAGTGTGTGCGACACTGACAGACTCCATCAGGGGCAGTTCTTTAGAAAAACCAATTAGTTTACTTTAAAYAGGCCAACACTTTCAAGCACCCGACTCATTTTGGCTGCAACGTGTCTGTTGGCAGGTCATCTGCTCACTGCAAACACAACTACGTATGAGACTTTTTTCCTCCCCCACCATTTTTCTCAATTAAAAGTAATTCAATGGCATTAATGGGCTTTTCAGTATTTCAATGGAGCTGGTGTCTGTAAATGCAATGCATGCTTATTTATAGCCATGGAAGTTCTTCTCAYATGCACTAGGGCATGAGTAGCCGTTGCTATGACCTTTTCACCTCTGCAGAAAGAGCTTCATATAATCTGTAACAAAGGGATGTATGGAACTGCTCTGAAAATGATAAATGGCTGCACCCAGAGGCTGTAGGTTTGCATCTGTGGTTCTCRTGCAGTCTGTTGCCAAGACAAACATGCAGGGTTAGATGCACTCTTGCTGAGCTCTGCTCATCCCCTCAAAATGAAGCTCCTCAGTCCTATATTGAGTTTTGAAATCCTCAGTGGAGACTATGTTCAACTTTTTTTTTTTAAACTGAGATGCTCTGTGGCTTCTGCAGTGTTACAGGACTTTTTTTTTTAAATATTTTATCCATTTTGTCAAGTTTTCCCCAAACTTGTGCAGTGGATCAATCAAGTTGGCTAAGAAACAGCCCCTTTTTTTTTTGTTTTTTAAAAATAAAAATTGGTACTCTGGCACATCACTAGCAGGYATAAAATTTGTAAACATGAGTCTCAAATTGGCTGTACTGTACTTGAGCACTTAAGTGGACCTGCTTGTGTTTTAAATGCACCCAAAACTGTTCTGTTTATGCAGCTCGTTGTCTTGGTTCTAGACTRGTCGACAAACCACTGGTCCTGCAGCCCTAGAGTCGGACCCCGAGGCAACCAGAGTGCAGACTTTAAAATGAGTGTTCATCCAGAGGGTAGTGTTCACCAGCAGGAAGGAAACTTAAATACTCATGTCTACTCRTATTAGTTCAAGCTGATTGCAGCTGAATAGTTGGATGAATTTTTGAAACTTGTCTGCATTGTTTTGTGGGTTGGTCTATAAGATAACTCAATTTTATTTGCAGCGTCTGACAAATCGAAGTAATTTCAAATGTATACACCAATYGATGCTTAATCCGTGGGAACATCTGTTTCTGCATGCCTTCARGTCTAATTACTTGAAGTGGAAAGATCAATTATCTACTTTCCACAGGTGTTTTCTCTTGACTGCACCCATTCAATCACAAACMTCATAGTGACATGGCAAAAAGGTTTCGTTAAACACTTCTGAAATGTGCTTGGTGAGCATCAAGCTCATTCAAATGCTTCAAAAACTTCTGAAAGCCTAGTATTGCTCTTTGTCTTATGAACACATGATGGGGGGGCTCAGGAGTAGCACAGCACTGAAGGTTCCCTTAAAACTTCTCATGTTGTGCCTGTGGCATGATCCACCATTTTCAATCTTGAGGAAACTTGGCAGAGTTTCAGTCCAGAATTTAGACAAGCAAATATTGCAGGATAAAATGTAATAGTTGGTTATCTAAGGAAATCTCGTTCTATCAGTTGGCCCATTTTTATTGATGTAGAAACACTTGTGCAAATTTGACTTATTTTTATTTATTTTAATCCTGTGTTCTTTATCTGCAGGAGGAGACCAAGGTGTTTTGAATGGCTTCTTCAGCRACTGGGCAACAGCTGACATATCAAAACATCTCCCTTTCATTTACAACCTCAGCAGCATAGCCATCTACACTTACCTTCCAGCATTCAAGCAGTAAGTGTTCACAGGTTATGTCTTGAGTCATGTGGAGGCTTTAAAAACTTAAAGTACTCTTCGTCAGAATTTATATTTACATGTGCAAAATGACCCASACGGGATGTGCGCTCGCTGTAAGCAGACACCTGATCACATGATAGAGTAGTCACATTGTGACATGACCTCGAAGTGGTGAGTTAAAAGATGAGCAGTAAAATTGCAGCCAGTCAGCTGGAGCGTCACCCTGCAGTCCTCTGCTCCGGGTGAAGTGTTCGGACTCAACAGCTGATACCACGCCTGAAATAGATTTGCTTTATTTAAGGACCTCTTTATGTTTCCGTCCTGGGCTGGTCATTGTGCATTGCCTTAAGCCCCCCCCCCCCCCCATTTCCACTGCATCAGCATGTCTGCACYTCTCAGCATAGAAACAAGCAGCATTAATGAGCTTCTGAGTTTGGTATTTCCTGGCACCCAGGCACTGATCACCAGCTTGGTAAACATGTTTTTAGTTGTTGGTGGCTGTCAACAACGATTCGAAGGTCTGGCAAAAGATGCGCAACAAACCCCCACAGGGATGGATTTTGTTTTTACCTGGCTGTTTGCCAACCAGAGTTTGTAATATCTGTAAGGTTTACTTTAAAAATCTGCTGTGTATCAGATTCAATATTGTTAGACTTTTCAAAAAGCTGTTTCAGCCGTACTGAGCCAGTTCAACTTGGACTTCTTGGTAAAGCTCTCTGAATTGTATGGCTTCAAGGAAAACCTTGGATGTTCAGTTTATTGACTCTTAATTTGGTTTAAGTGTTAAAACTCAAACTCATTTTTTAAAGCAGTATTTTAGATTAAGTCATGCATTTTAAACAAACTCCTAAAATGACTGGCATTAGAAGTACAATTAAAATTAGGAGTGCTGATTTCCTTAATTTTGAGAGATTGGCCAATACTTGGAAAAGAAGGAGTTGTCTACCTCCAAAGCTCTGAAAAACATCCACTGTCCCCTTCTTGTTCTGCTGTGAGCGCTGTCAAGGGTATTGAATGCTTTTTCAATAAAGACTGGAACACTGAAGGGGCATTGTGACCTTTATACCACCTGACAGTGTCAGTTATTTAAATCAGAATCAGCAGGTCAGACTTTTATGGAAAAAAAAAAAAACTGACCAACCTGAAAACTACAATTGCTGCACCCCTACTAAAATGGTATTTTGAGTAAAATGGCATGTGACTGTATAGTATTTTCAACTATTTGCTGCAATCAAATGTGGGTCAAATTTTGCTTGCACTTCCAGATTTGGCGACAATGCGAAGGTGGTCCACTTCCTCGGGGAAACCAAGCCATGGACCTACACGTTCGACCCCCAAACAAAACAACTTTGCGGGGGAATGCAAGAGGCCCCCACACAGCCAGCCTTCCTCCTGGACTGGTGGACCCTGTACGCCAGCGCTGTGGTGCCRATGCTGCAGGAGCAGTATGGAGACAAGCCTTTTGTCTCTGGATGTTTGGAGGTGAATTTACTTTGCGTTGTACATTCTTGAATGAAATGTCTGTAACCTTGAATTTTTGAGCAGCTTAGTTTAGAGGGCAGACTGTACATGTTGAAGGTGGGAGGGTATCTTCTGCTGCTTTATTTTAGATGGTAGATCTGCTTTTACTGGGCTAACTTGCAAATGGTGGCTGTTCCTCTACAAACTGCATGTCAATACATGTAATTTTTTTTTCTGCCTCTTTCTGTCTTTCTGTTAATGTCAAAGTCCCAGGAAAGTGACACAACAGTCACTACTGAGACTGTACAGGTATGGAGACGATTGGGTTTGTGAATGATTGTGTGCAYCTGGTTTACTACGTAATTACAGTTAAATCTGTAATCAGCATTGGTGTGTTTGCCTGTGGCTAATGCAGAAATGGAACACGATGTTTTGGTACATGGTGTGTTTTAGTACACGGTGTGTTTTAGTACACGGTGTGTTTTTTGCTTCAACAAATAATGGTTAATCTAATTTTGGAGGTGCGGGGTGTTTGTGTGGTTTTGGTCCCGTTGGTGCAGTCTGAATCAAGTCAACTGTCAAGTTACCAATTTTTACGTTTCTCTCTTCAGCAGGAGAGCAGCGCTTCGCATGCACCCCTAGAACCGGAGAGGTCATCTGTACAACGAAAGGAGCAATGGGAGCAAGGTCAGGCCGACTACATGGGAATGGACTCGTTTGATAATATCCAGAAAAAGCTTGACACGTTCCTCAAATGAAAAGGGATCGATGCAGAAAATRAGAAGCACTTGCAGTCTAACAAATGGTTACGTCTTTTCAAAAGTTGCTTGGTTTCAGGTTTATTTCTTAAATAAAAATGAACCAATCTCTCCCAGCATTTCACCTGTTTTCTGAAAAAAATGCATTAAAATGACAGACAAATTCTATCATTGCTGGTCATTTAGTTCGCCTTGATTCTCTGAAGAAAAGGGCAAGTTTACGTCACTTTTTTTTTTTTTTCCCCAGAGTTGTTAAAATCTTCAGTTTTTTTTTTCATGTTGATGCTCTTGAGTTTTTTTTTTTTTTTTTTGCAGTCACTTGTGTACTTATTTTTTGTACTGCAGTTTTATTAATGCATTTTTTTCTGAACTTAAGCTTTGTTTTTGAAAAGTTGAAAAAATGTTTACAGTACTGTTTGAGACTCATTTAGTCAAACAAGCTCTAGAACTTTAGTGCCTTAAGAGTTTTGCTCTGCACTGCTACCATCCTGTTTACAATCAGCTGCTTTCCTGTAGGTGATTGGGTAGAATTTTTCAATTTTAACTGACCAGATTGTTGGCTGATATTCACGTGGAAATAAAACTATTAAATGTGCTAAAGTGTGTGACACTTATTATTACTATTATTATTTGTTCTTTTATTACTATTAGTATTTGTTCTTTTGGCCAATTCAAGTGGAATATGAAGTCTAAAAAAACAATTAGCAGATTTTCTTTTGTTTTTAGTTTTATTTGTCAAAACTTGCAGCACTAATGTTAAACCCTTGCTTAGGAGTAATTAAATGAAATGACCATATCYTAAGTTTCCAGTGTGCAAGATAACCAAAAACCTTTACAGAAACTCAAAAATCCCAAAGCCAGACAAAAGGACTTGTTTATAATTTCAAGATTCCCAAGCACAGGAATATATATATATATATATATGCCAGACTATGCAGCTATTGAGACCTATTTTCAATATTCCACTGTTTGATCAGATTGTTAGTGGTACAAAAATATTATACAAGAATATAGATTTAGTAAAAGGCGTACTTATTGTTAAATGCAAAAAAGAGAAAAAAAATCCGTTTAAATGTTTTAGGTAAATTCTGTGGGAAAGGCATTTGGTGTGATTGGATGTTTAAAAAGATGTGTTCAAGACGAGATGACTCCCATCCAGACACTTCCGGTTTTGCTGCATCCCGTTAAAATCTGCTGGATTTAATTATTTGTCTCCCCTCTGCAGGGTGGGGACATGGTAAACGCACTAAGAAAAAGAAATCACTGCCCACTGTTTAATATGACCGTATATTTTACAAAAGTCAAAAAGTAATCCTTTTTTTTTTTTTTTTTTACGGAAGCGGAGGGCGTGCCCCACCGTGCCGTCATCCCCGCTCCGTTGGGGAGATGCAGCCCGTTCTGTCACGAAAGTAAACACTTCCATCAAGATGGCTTCACAGTCCGTGTTCCAAGTGGTGGTTCTGGTGTCCTTTTCAGTCTTCCTCACCATCGTGTTGGGGTTTGGACTGCCGGCTCTCCTGAACGCGCTCATGAGGATGGTGGGACTACCGGAAACGAGTGTAACAGAGTGCATTGTGGTAATATACGCAGGTTTTGTTCTGTACGTCGCGACGCCTCGAATTCCCAGAGGATTGGTGAAGGTAAGGTCACCGAGTGTGTCGGTTTCTGTACGGAAATGCGTGTTATGCACGCGTTAATAATTTGTCTTAAACATTTTAGTAATAGTCTATTTCTAAAAAGTACAACTCTAAGACTTAAAAGTTATAAAGTTGTTAGAACAGTGCATTAGTGAGAGGTAAAAGTCCCTCAGCTGCTGTAAATTTTGAAGACAGTCAGTCCATACTAGTCTTAACATGTGTAAAACTCTGTTTTAAACTGTTTTCTATTACATAAGCCCTGCTGTGGTGTGTATCTGCCTGCCTCACTGTGTTCTGCTCCTCTGTTCAGGTGAAAGGAAAAGCTGTGTTTATTACTGGCTGTGACTGTGGATTTGGTTTTGCACTCGCCAAACATCTGCACTCACATGGCTTCACAGTTTTTGCTGGATGTCTTTTAAAGGTAGCTATACACAATGCTTCATTTGTCAAAAAAAGTGGAAAAAACATGCACGATCATACCTTCAAGGTAACCTGAAAGCTGCAAAAACTTGACTTTATTGAGGTGACTTCAAAGCAGTTTGAATTCATATGAGATTGAAGCAACTCCAAAATAAAACACTTTATTTGGACGGCTTTAATTAAACAAAAATGGACTTTAAGATGTCAGAGTCAGTGATGTCACTCTCTCAGGATGCAGACGGAGAAGGTGCAAAGGAGCTTGAAGAGTTGCATTCGGATCGCATGAARGTGGTGCAGCTGGACGTCTGCAGCGACGAGCAGGTGAAAAAGGCCGCGGAGTTTATCGAAGACAACCTGCAGGACTCGCAAAGAGGTAAACAGCTCTTTTCGGTGCATCAGAAACCAGTTTTTTTAAATAATGTCATCTTGGATGGGTCTCTCTTGACTCAGGTCTGTGGGCTGTGGTGAACAACGCCGGCATCTCCGCCTTCGGGGAGGTGGAGTTTACCTCCATGGACACCTACAAACAGGTGTCAGAGGTCAACCTCTGGGGCACCATCAGGGTCACCAAAGCGGTTCTGCCATTAATCCGCAGGGCTAAAGGTAAGCCGCTGAAAAATTTGACCGTATGTTACTTATTAACACAATTATGTAATAGCGACTTTTTATTCTGTCCAAAACCCCAGGTCCAGAGTACAAAAATCTTCCGAGCACCTTAGTCTCAGGTTTTTAGTGAGTGATTATAAAGATGGTTAGGATTCCAGTTTGAAACCTAACCGTTCAGCTAACCAGTTAACTTATAATTTTARTAGTGCTGGTTTATTTTATTTTATTTTTTTAATCGATTTATCGAAAGACGATTTCTAACTTTTTGCCTTTCTTGAAATGTGAAGTGAAATGTTCAAAACGGAGATAATTTAAAGAGAACATGTTTGACACTGTAGAATAATGACTAATTCATGACTCCCTGAAGAAGGTATGTAAGTTGATACCCGCTGGAGTGGTTGTTACTGGTGGAGACAACTCTGCATAATAGAATAAAGGTGTTTTAGTCTTTTCATATTCAGGTTTCCAAAGAGTAATTAACAATGTACTCATCCAGGAAATGCTCCCGTGCCTACTGTTTTCTTATTGACATATCTATTTGCACATAGGTGATGCGTAGGATACTACAAGTCATAAAAGAGTAGTAATCTAGTTTGATTTCATCTTGACTTTAAATTATTTGCCCAGCAGTGTAAACGTCTCTGGCCAGGGCCGGGCCTAGCCTATTTGGTGCCCTAAGCAAGATTTCAGGTGGTGCCCCAAATCTCCCCGCTAATTTACAAACATTTTCATACACAATTACATGAGTTTTATCTTTGATCGTATTGTTTATCTTTAGAAATCAGATTGTCCAAATAAAATAATTAACAATATGGTGAAATTCCTCCTGGTGAACGCCCTGTCACACTATGTTTTAGACAGATTTTGCCAACTTAGGAAAATTTTAAAGACATCTACGTTGAAGATGGAATTTAAAAAATCAACTGGAAACCTCTTTTAGGCATGTACATACTGGAATGAAAACAAATTGGTCAAATATATAACTTTTATTTGTAAATTAGACAAAAAATATTTTATAAGTTGGCTAAAACGTAGTGTGACAGGGCCTTAAAG